GATCCAGCAGTGTAATTAACCGTTGGCATGGGGTGGTTTTATTTTCACCAAATCCATCTGGACCCAAAGACTGTCTGCAATTCTCCGTTTGTGATCCGTGGAGACTGTTGACATGAATACACCGTGCCTCTTCCCGGCAGATTCGTACGGAAGTGTATTGCATTCACTTGAAGAAAAAAAATCGACTCTGTTTTTCTAAATTAACGTCTTAATTATCTGAGAATTACGAGATAATTTTTCATGTAAAAAAGTTTTTTGCTCTGTTTTTTCTGAATTAACGAGTTAATTATCTCAGAATTACGAGATCATTTTTCATGGAAAAAAGTTTTTGCTCTGTTTTTCTGAATTAACGAGTTAATTATCTCAGAATTACGAGATCATTTTTAATGTAAAAAAGTTTTTGCTCTGTTTTTCTGAATTAACAAATGAATTATCTCATAATTGCGAGATAATTTTTCATGTAAAAAAGTTTTTGCTCTGTTTTTCTGAATTAACAAGTTAATTATTTTATAAATACGAGTTCATTTTTCATGTAAAAAAAAGTTTTGCTCTGTTTTTCTGAATTAACGAGTTAATTATCTCAGAATTACGAGATAATTTTTCATGGAAAAAAGTTTTTTGCTCTGTTTTTTCTGAATTAACGAGTTAATTATCTCAGAATTACGAGATCATTTTTCATGGAAAAAAGTTTTTGCTCTGTTTTTCTGAATTAACGAGTTAATTATCTCAGAATTACGAGATCATTTTTAATGTAAAAAAGTTTTTGCTCTGTTTTTCTGAATTAACAAATGAATTATCTCATAATTGCGAGATAATTTTTCATGTAAAAAAGTTTTTGCTCTGTTTTTCTGAATTAACAAGTTAATTATCTCAGAAATACGAGATCATTTTTCATGTAAAAAAAAGTTTTGCTCTGTTTTTCTGAATTAACGAGTTAATTATCTCAGAATTACGAGATAATTTTTCATGGAAAAAAGTTTTTGCTCTGTTTTTCTGAATTAACAAGTTAATTATCTCATAATTGTGAGATAATTTTCATGTAAAAAAGTTTTTGCTCTGTTTTTCTGAATTAACGAGTTAATTATCTCAGAATTACGAGATCATTTTTCATGTAAAAAAGTTTTTGCTCTGTTTTTCTGAATTAATGACTTGATTATCTAAAAAACTTGTTAATTCAGAAAAACAGAGCAAAAACATTTTTCCATAAAAAAGATCTCGTAATTCTGAGATAATTTACTCGTTGATTCAGAAAAACAGAGTAGATTTTGTTTCCTCAAGTGAATGCAATATATTTCCGTAGATTCGTACACCTGTAGTTGATTGGGACTTCAGTTATTGCCCTGATGGTGGAAATGCTTTAGCCACGCCACGCATTATTTTGCTCGTCAATCTTTTTCAGAACTACATTCTGTGGTTTTACTCATTATGATGGATGATTAAGGGAATTTGGCCTTTGTGTTTCTCATATTTATACTCCTGTCATGGCTGGACAATGTCTCGTCACCCTGGCGTGCTAGAAATTGTAAATATGATGGGGAATATTGTCCAGAGATCATTTCTATAGTGCACCAATAATAGAGAAAAGCACTTAAAACATGTATTCCATAATCACCCCTCCCCCACTTTCAATTATTTTACTTTTTTTCATTTTTGTGATTTTTTTAATGAATAATCTGAAGTATAAACAATAGATTTTTTTGTACAGCCTTCTTTGTTCATATTTACCAAGGGTGCCAATAATTCTGATTATGTAATATTAACATTAGCCATATCAAGACATAATAGCCAGCCATTTTTATTTCAAAACGCTGTTAAAAGTGGCAAATTTCCAGTGTTTTACACAATATAATTCTATTAAAAACCATAAATAATTTGAGATGTGGTAACAAAATGAACTAATGTAGCCTAATGTTTACACCTTAAACACTCAAAAAGTTTGCGTTTTAATGTCTATCTCGCCACACATAAACCCACAAAGGACGGATGAGATTTGGTTCTCGAAGTTGGCAGAGCAAAATTATTCATTCTTGCTATTTATATCTAATGTATTCCTTTGTCCGGCCTTTACGTTCGGATTTTACTCATTTTCCCTGCGAACATGAAGTCATGCTCCAAGAACTCAGCGGTCCTTCCTTTAGTCAAACCAGGAGACGTCTTTTCCCTGTTTCAGCTTGAATTGAAAGCCTCTTCATAGTCAGCATGTTCCTCCGTCTGATTATCCCCTCAGAGAATAGTTTCATACAAACCAAATTTCTCCTCTGAAAGGACCTGTCCAGGTTTCCATCACCGAGTGCATGGCAGAGAGGGATGATGGGTAATTCCTGGACCGAAAATATGCCATTTCATCAAACGCAGTCATTTCTGTCCTGAAGGCCCGACTCAAGGACTAGTGGACCTCTAGAGCCGCACATATTCTCCTCGCACTCATATATACTTGAATATCATTGGCCCCAAAAAGTATCAAGTCATGTTTACAATGTTAAACATACACAAATCTAACTGGCATTTAGTAGCCCTCAAACCGTATTCACTTTATAGCCTTTTATCCTGTAATTGTGGACAAATGTGGGCACAGGGGACTCAGGTGTGATCCTAATTTTTATTTATTATAAATGTTATGCCACTGTCTTCGATAAAGTTTTGTCTATCCATTTATGTTTTTTTTCTTTTTATTATTTATTTACTTCAAAAAGTACCATATTTTCAAAGTAAATTATGCTTATTTTTATGTTTAATTTTTAACTACATTAAAATATTATTCCAATAAGTTCTTGGAGCTAAACCCTAAAGATGAAGTGACTTTGCTGTCACCTGGTGTCTTATTTTGGCTTATGCTCTAAATTACAGTTTTTCCCATTCATTCATTTCTATGGGTGCCCATTTTTGACCCAAATACAAGATTAAGGAGTTTTTTTTTCACCCACTTAACATTGTAGAATTGAGTCAAAAAACTGTGTGTGTTCAGGAGGCAAACTTAGGATAAGTAGCCAAGTCTTGTACCGCTCAGATCAAGGGAAGTATTTTTTTAAAAATAAATCAAAACTATTTTGCCCACATTTGTCCAGGGTTAAAATGAACAGTGTGTATTGCACCGTGAGCTTGATAGAGTGTGCTAAGATGTGTTATTACAGTACTATAAGAGGGCAGACGGACACTAAAGGCCGTTCTAGAGGAAGCCCAGTGTTACACTGCCCTCTGATGGACTACACACTGTATTAGAGAAAAGGTGGCATTTTGAATTAATATTTCATGAGCACAGTGGCAATAAGCTAAAAACAGAAATTCGATAAATACCTCAAATGTTACTATTCACAGCACTTTCTTTAAACCACGTCACTGTTTTTACCTAAGTCGTGCAGTTTGTCTCAACAATATGAGTCAACATTGGTTTTGAAATTTGAAATAATTTCAGTTACTTATTGGACGCATTACTAATATCCGAATCAAACATGTTGTCTTTTGAATATTGCTTTAATAGGTTATATTTTAGTGAGTTTGAGTATTTATTTGTAAATCCCCTAACTAACCAATATGAAAACGCCCAGAGTTGATAGAATTACCGACTTATTATTCTCCCTCAAAAATGATGCCAGTTTCTTCCTTTTGGTATTGAATACATTTCACTGAGTTTTAAAAATCTACACAGTTCAGTAAGTATACAAAAAAGCAATAAAACTTACCTTAAGTTGACACACGTTAGTAACTGTAAAGTGCCATTGAGCAAATAATCAAAGATATGGCAGTTGTTCTAAAGATATAGTGTTTAATCTTGACCAGAGCATACTTCTGAAATACCTGCATTACAATGTCATGTGCTAACCTCAAACTTAAAGGAGTAGTTCACTTTAAAAAAAACTTGCTGATAATTTATTCACCCCCATGTCCTCCAAGGTGTTCATGGCTTTCTTTCTTCAGTCGAAAAGAAATTAAGGTTTTTGATGAAAACATTCCAGGATTTTTCTCCATATAATGGACTTCATAAACGGTTCAAGGTCCAAAAGACAGTTTCAGTGCAAACTGTTCAAAGGGCTATAAACGACACCAGACGATGAATAAGGGTCTTGAACGAATCGTGTTTTGAGTCATTTGGTTCATTCAACGAACGAAATGACTCTAAAAAAGATTCATTCATTTTGATGAACGAGTTTGAACAGGAGAGTCACGAACGTGCATCACAGAACAGAGCAAGGCGAGCATTTGAGCTTATAAAACTTAATTTTTTATTTATTTATTAAATGAGCAACCGTTTCGCTTGATAAGACCCTTATTCATCGTCTGGAATCATTTAAAGCCCATTGAACGGTTTGCACTGAAAGTGTCTTTTGGACCTTGAACCGTTTGGTTTCCATTGAAGTCCATTATATGGAGAAAATCCGACTGAAGAAAGAAAGACATGGACATCTTGGATAGGGATGGGTATCGTTTGAATTTGAACGATTCTGATTCCGATTCCTTGTTTCGATTCCGGTTCCTAGCGATTCTCGATTCCGATTCTTTTAAGAGGCAGGGTCAAAAAAGTTTAGCTAACCTTGCTAACCAACGGCTTTTCTGAAAGAAATAATCCTTTCTGAAGGAAATACTCCTTCTGTAAAAATACTCCTTTTGTCACAAATTTTGCCGAGATTTCGTTATTTTTAAAAAAGTGAAGCCACACTTTGGATCGCCGACGTAAGGTACTCATGTTCGACTTGCGTGGTTATGCCAACACTTCCGGTAGACGCTTCTTCGTAGGTGTTGTTCAGCGGTTTCTTCTTCCGCTCGGCGGACTGTGAATATCGAAACTAGGAATCGAAATTTTAACTTTTGAACGATTCCGGGAAAAACGAAAAGTTAGTCTCGGTTCCAATCGATACTCGATACCCAACCCTAATCTTGGATGACGTGGGGGTGAGTCAATTATCAGCAAAAGTTTCTTTTAAAGTGAACTACTCCTTTAAATATGGTGAAATGCATCACTGACCGATCTTAGCATTAATATTCAAGGAACATCTACACAAGCGCACTTGTTTGATCATTACACTTGTTTATTTGACACTGAAGGCAGTTTATAACACTGGGGCATCATTCGTTCGCACCACACGTTTTGGCCATTGCTCTTAATGTTTTCAGGCTGCTTCACTCAAAGCAAATTCATCTAACCTGAAATTATGAAAATAAACCGTTTTAAATCAACTTAATCTATCATACAGTTAAATGAAGCCTAACCCTGCTAGTAAGAGTTACTCTCGCCACATCAGAGAGAATGGGACTACTTCTGCTTTTTGTCCTTCTTAAATTCGGCGATTTGACTGAAAATGTCCACCAAACTGGACGGAAGATCTTTTTTGAGGCTTCCAACAGAAGACCGTCGATCCTCTCTGTTTCTCTCCGCTCTGTCCACCCTGCCTCGCTCCGACACGCAGCGGTTTCTGCCCTGCGAGGAGCACTCCTTGGAGTAGCGGGCGGATTGGTGAGAGTATTCGGATTGGCTTGAGGAGGAGGAATCCCTCCGGTTTCTGGCACGATCCGCGGTGTCGTGCGTCCCACCGTTTGCATCCGCACCTCCCACTCTAGACCCATCTTTGACGTTCTCCGGACTCCTGTCGGTAACGTCTTCAAACCTACCTCTCCCGTCTTCGCTCCGGCCTTGCCCCCAGGGCGGTTCTCCGTCGCTGAGGAGTTTGGTTATGGACTGTTTCTGGTTGATGTAAGAGGCCGAGGTGTTGGCGGGAGCCGGGAACCAGTCGTCCTCCAGAGTTTTATCGCTACAAGACGACACTCTCCGCTTGTGTTTCTTACTGCCGTGAGACGAGCGCCGCCGCTTGTGTTTCCGTTTCTTCGACTTCTTCCGGCTCGTCGAAGGAGAGTCGTCGTCCGTGGATGAAGACGTGTCTGAGGATGTGGAGGAAGAGGTCGACCGCTTTCTTTTCTTCTTCTTAATTCTACATGGGAGCAAACATCACATTGAAACTCGCATGGGACATCAACAATGACTAAAAGAGTAAAACATGAGAGAGTTCTTACCTTGCTTTGTTGGACGAAACACTCAGATTTCAATGGTCACGTACACAAAGCCAAGTGTTTAGAGTGTAAGCACATTTTTAAATCAGGGCTAGGCGATAGATTAATAATGTTCACGTATTCAATACATGACGCAGCGAAGTTCCATTTTTCCGAATTGTGAATTTCTACTCTCGCACCATTTTCGGTCAGCACATTTTCAATTGATGATTTCAGCCCTCGAAAACTATGTCGTCCGAAAAAGAAATTGATTTTGTTGCCATTTTAGATCATTTGTTGTGGTTGCAGAACTTTTGGGGAATCACTAACATATACACCACCAATGAATAACATAATGACCACTCATAAATATATGAATATTTAAATATATTGTGAATATTTAGATACATGGTGAATATTTAAATATATGGTGAATATTTAAATATATAGTGAATATTTAAATATATTGTGAATATTTAAATATGTTGCGAATATTTAGATATATGGTGAATATTAAAATATATTGTGAATACTTAGATATATGGTGAATATTTAGATATTTGCTGAATATTTAAATATATTGTGAATATTTAAACATTTTGTGAATATTTAGATATATGGTGAATATTTAAATATAATGTGAATATTTAGATACATGGTGTATATTTAGATATATGGTGAATATTTAGATATATGGTGAATATTAAAATATATTGTGAATACTTAGATATATGGTGAATATTTAGGTATTTGTTGAATATTTAAATATATTGTGAATATTTGAAACTTTTTTGAATATTTAGATATATGGTGAATATTTAAATTTAATGTGAATATTTAGATATATTGTGAATATTTATATTTATGGTGAATATTTCAATATATTGTGAATATTTCAATATATGGTGAGTATTTAGATATATGGTGAATATTTCAATATATGGTGAATATTTAGATATATGGTGAATATTTAAATATATAGTGAATATTTAAAAATATTGTGAATTATTAGATAAATGGTGAATATTTAGATATATAGTGAATATTTAAAAATATTGTGAATTATTAGATAAATGGTGAATATTTAGATATATGGTGAATATTTCAAAATTTTGTGAATATTTAGATATATGGTGAATATTTAGATATATGGTGAATATTTAGATAGATATTTAGATATTTAGACTCTTTATATAGTTGGGTGGATTCTGATTGGCTGGCAATGTTTATAATTAATTAGCCTGGGAAAAATAAAAAAGTAATCAAAGTTCTCAAAGTTATTCCAAAAATATCACTATCGTTCCTCAGTGTTGTTATAGTGTGGACCACACTATTTGTATAGAATTAGAACGATTATTAGAACGTAATAGATATAGTTATTGTCTTTGGTGTGAACAGGACTTCCTGATTTCGAATGAACAGTGTGCAGTGTGTACGTGACCAAATATGTGCTTGACAGGAATAAGAACATGAATCAAGATGGAGGTGTTGACATTACCTTTTCTCTTCTTTTAGGATTTTACGCAATTTCTCGGCACTTGTCTCCACGGTCTTAGATCTTTCCTGCTCTTTGGCAGCTTCCTCCTCTTTCAATTTAAGCGATTTCTTTAAAGCAGGTCATTTACAGGGTAAAATTGATCAGGAAATTCATCAAGCATGCATGCGTGCAGCACACAGGACGAGCAATTTCACACAAGTGCCGTTTTCACACCCCAAGCGAAGTATTCAACGTCAGGATGTTAAGCAATGACAAAAAAAGCGAAGAAAAAAACAAAAACATTTTATATTTAGCAAGATGCAGTTACCGTAGTACCAGGAGCAGAATACAAACCAAAGGTGGTGGGGTTTATGTCCACATGGGGAAATTATGTCAACCCAGTGCAATCAGGGTTAAAGGTCCCATCAGTCAGGTTTCACAGGTCCAAGATCAGATAGATACATAAATAACAAAAATACTTCATCAGTACTTCAATACTTATCAGTTAAAATAAACCTCATGCAAGTTTGTTTTTGATAACGAAAAAGTCAAAATGCAGTGCGTCTTAAAGTCCCCCTGGTGAAAATCACGTTTTTAATGTTGTTTATATGTCTATGTGGTGTTTTTAATATGCTTTAAGATGTGTAAATTCATGCGTTTTCTCCTTAAAACTGCAGTGAACCAAAGACAGTCTCAAAAACACGGTTTGAAATCGCTGACGTCACAAGCGACCTTGTAACCAATCAGATCAACGTGTGATCGTCAACCAGTGGATTTCTGAGCGGAGGCGGGGCTCATTTGCATATTCATAGAACCACAAATACTAAATGAGGCAAGGGTGTCAAGTTACATTCAAGCTATTTTAAGACATAAAGAGATTTTATTCAAGGAAACAATGCTTAAATATGCCAATTTGGTGTCAGATGATTTTTTAAGGGATACAGGGGGACTCTAACACATGTGCCTGAAATACCAGAAGCTAACTGTCGGATTAAACCTGCAGCGGCAGCCAATCATGTGTTAGTGACAGTCAGGTTTATCCAGCTCACCTGGATGCGTATCTGAAGCTTCTCCAGCGCCTCGGCTGCCTCTCGAAACGTGTCGTCTAACGCCACGGCTCTTTTGTAGAGACCCTCGGCGGTCACCAACTTCTCTTCCTCTTCAAGTCTGCGCAGATCAAAATTAAAATCATTATGAAACTGCTAAAAGGACACAACAGTTGGATTTGATATTAATGCTGTGAGTTTTCCAAGCTACTATGTCTATATGGATATTTGGCTAATTAAACATTTATGGTAAATATTGTCCATAATAGTGTGTTGCTGATGTTAGGGCATTGCTACGTTTTGTAGTCTCTGGGGCATTAATATTCTGTTGTTAATAATATTAAAGGCCCAAATATACTACAAGTGAACTGGTGTGACGTCGAACAAATTAGAGTAGAAATTGAGGTGTAATTCTAATTGAAAGCAACACTAACACGGTTTCTTTTTCCATGTTTAATACTGTAAAGCTGTTTGGTTTAAAGCGATGTTTTTACCCCTAAGCGAAGAACAAAATGTCACCGCGAGAATATCAAGGCCTTAAACTCCACTTCCAAGTCTATGTGACATGCAGGTCACTAGACAGGGCACTCACTTTTCATATTGAGTTACACAAGTGTACTTCCTACAGGTAGGGGGTTGTTTAAAATAAATTATAGGGTTTTTTTGGGTGGATGCCCAGTTCAGATGAGCCTAGGGGTGTGCGATATGACGATTTTTAATCGTGGACGATTAAAATGTCTCCACGATCTGCTTTTGAAGAAATATCGTAGTATCGTGTTACAGTGCATTCTATCAGTTCAGCTCTGGCGCCTCCGTCTCTTAACTGTACAACGCGACGTAGCCTACACATGATCACACGTTAAGGGATAGGTACGGGACACTGCAATTCACAAAAGTTCATAGCATAAGCCTTGCCGGTTAAACATTTAATTCACGCGCTGATGCGCTGTTCTACGTGCGCTTTCCTGACCGCAAACCCCCGACGCTCACAGGCACTAGAAGTCTGTCAAACAGCGCCTGAATACTGGACTAAGTTATCTCTCGAGTCTTATTAAGCTAATACTGTTAAATACACACAATGTTTACATAAACAGGCTATGTCTAAAGTGAAAGCAAACATTTGAGAGAATATCTGGTGTAATATGCGTCTATATTAAACGCGTCGCGTGCTGGTCTAAAAGCAACAGGAATAAATAGTAGCCTACTGCCGCTTGTGATAGTTCCCAAAAAAAAAAAAAAAAAAAAAAAAAAAAAAAAATCCGTCATTATTTACTCACTCTAATGTTGTTCCAAACCTGTATTAATTTCTTTCTTGTGCTGAACACAAAAGACAATTTTTTTTAATGTGGGTAACCAAACAGTTGCTGGTCCCCATTAACTTCCAGGAGAGAACCTATAAAAAAAACAATAAGGAGACCAGCAACTGTTCGGTTACCCACATTATTCAAAATAACTTTTATTTTCAACAGAAGAAAGAAACTTATTCGGGTTTAAAACATCTTGAGAGAGTAAATTAAGACAATTTTCATTTTTGAGGGAACTATCCCTTTAGTGTTAATAAAACAAACAAAAAAAAAAAAACACAAGGAGAAAATCACTCACTGACTGAGAACTTTAATATATCTTTAATAAGAATCAATTTATTCAGTGAAGCCTATGTAGTGTTTTAATTTCATATTTGTTCATTTAATTACTTCAATGCTACTGCTAAATACACCTACTGCATCTGAAAAAATAAAGCACTATTTATTTAATATGAATATTAATTTGTGTAATGTTTATCTTGTCTTATTTTTTTAATAACAAAGAAAATAATGACAAAGATTTTTATCTTCGCCACTGGCCTAAATGTGTGGCTTTCTTTTTTCTTTTGTTACCTAAGGCTTTGTTTTTAACATAGGGACATTAGTTTGGCTGTAATGAACAGCCACTTGCAAAATATTAAAACCAACTTGAAAAAGAATCGTGATAAAAAATCGTGATCGTGATTTTCCTAAAAAAATCGTGATATGATATTTTTTCCATATCGCCCACCCCTAGATGAGCCCAACCCAAGTCTTGATGATACTGCAATTACACTGCACAGTAGAGCCCGACCGATAAAGGATTTTGAAGGCCGATACCGATACAAATATTTGTTGGTTTTAAAATCCGATATATCGGCCGATATTATTATTATTATTATTATTTCAGAAACACACAACAAAATATTGACAGATTTCCCTAACATTGGTTATTTGTAGTTATTTATGAGTTTTAACTAAAATAATATGATAATGCATTTTAAAAAGAAACTTGTTTCTATTGTCTCATCAGAACAGAGGAACATCAAAATATATTAAAGTTCTGATAAATAAAATAATAATTAGCCCCTACATTGTCTTATAGTTATAAGCTGCGTGATTCGTCCGTTTTTATTTTATTTTTGAAAGATTCATTTATCAGCCATTATAACTGCCGATACCGATATTTTAGAAAATGCCTAATATCGGCCTGCCGATATATCGGTCTGGCTCTAGTGTTTAATTACTATGTAACTTATAAATTGCACTTATTGTGTAATTGCATGTTGTTGTTTTTTACATTGTACTTATATTAAATTTATTTTTTATTTTTTTGGAATTTACATCTGTAATGATACCGATATTTTAGAAAATACCTAATATCGGCCTGCCGATATATCGGTCTGGCTCTAGTGTTTAATTACTATGTAACTTATAAATTGCACTTATTGTGTAATTGCATGTTGTTGTTTTTTACATTGTACTTATATTACATTTTTTTTTTTGGAATTTACATCTGTAATGATACCGATATTTTAGAAAATACCTAATATCGGCCTGAGATATATCGGTCTGGCTCTACTGCACAGTTTAATACACCACTGATGGAACGAGCGAGCATCCCCCGCATTTCCAGAAGTGACGCAAGAACGAGAACAAAAGCAGGGACGACACGTATCCGGGAATCTTCTGAATAGATGTTCCCCTTCCAGAGACGTACTTATGAAAACATAACCGGAATAATCACTTTAATTGTGATGTGCATGTAAGTGCGGTTGATGCTACGCCACAGGCGGGTTGGGTCTAGTCTGAAATGATCACCTGCCGCTCAGGGAATGAATGCATGGGAATTCCAACAGGTGAATCACACAGGCATTCTTGTGATGGTTTGAGATTAAAAAGATCAAAAAAATGCCATTAAGGGGATAATTCATATCTGGAAAGCTGAATGTGTATTTAAATTGGTCATTTATGTAGAAAATATTTTTGAATTTGGAGCTTTCTAGACTGAGAAAAGCCAGAAAATGTATTTTTGGGCTATGTGGATGAAAGACAACAACTCCCAGAATGCACTTGCTTCGCTGCCCTAGGAGGCCACGCCTACCGGTAACAGCGCGCAGTAGTTAAACTACAAGTCTAGGCTCCTAGTGAGTCTCCGTGATGAGTCTGCCCGAAAATGTGTTTCGAGATCGCACAAAATGTCCGGGATTCAGCTTTTGCGTTCAACAGTCGCCATTCGTTATGTTAACTGTGGCGAGCGGGACGAGTGAGGGCCGCGGGAGAACGGCGCGAGGCCGGTGGCGTGATTACCAATGAGTGACACCTGTGAGATGCACCGGTCTCGTATCTCTCACGGAGGAGCGGGAATTTTCTTAGCAATGTTAAAACGCACATCAACCGATCACTTGTTTAGCGTTCATGTAAACACGACATTCAGGTTCACCAATCGAATTAATTCAGTTAGATTGAAACAAAAGCTGTACATGTAAACAATAATTGGCGACTGCAGAAAGCAAAAGCTGAATCCCGGACATCGACGGCCGGACATATCCGGGAAAAAGAGGATGGTAACTCCTACTACTCAGCTTTCTCCACAGAACAAGAGCCTGCTAGCTTAGCTTCCAAACAAAGATGGCTGACACTATGTGTTCATTCTGTGAGTGAGATCGCCCTCTATGGGCGGGTTGAGAACATACGGGACAGACCCGACTACTGACTGTAGTCTTTAGCCTTTAGACAAAAAATCCTCAGATGACGCAAAATGACGATTTACAGACAAACAATACATAAATATCTCGTCACAGGGGGATATGAGGGTGGAAAGCACGGTAATTTGACAGAGCGGAGACATTTTTTCCTAGTATGTAGGCTGTAGCTACTAGCACTACCAGTGCGAAAATGTGGACGTTTCATTTCCCCTTTAACAAATAACGTTACATGCTAACTTACATGTTGTTGACGAGACGGGAATCTGACAGCAGACATCGCGAACAATGTTTCTATGTGCAGTTTGTCAACATATAACATGAGAAGTCGTCTTTTTGTCTAATGACTGTACCCAACATTAGTCATTCGCGGTCAAAACACTGGTGTAAACACAGTTTGATGTCGCGATTTTCAATGCCCAGAGCCTGTTAAACTTGAGCCAACCAACCCCGTGACGTCAGCTGCACAATGGCGGCGCCCTGGCGGCGAAAGATACAAAGTTTTTTCTTCTAAATGTTTACATTTGTAATGTTTCTTATATAATTGTTGATTATATTGGAAATCCATCTTGTAAATCATGTAAACTTGATTCACTGCTTCATTTCCCCTTTAAGGGGACAGCATAATGTGTCTTCAAAAAAAACATGCCACAACATTGATTCTGATCATCAAGTTTTGCTATGTAAATGCAGCGCAGATCGTGGTAAAATCACTGTCTTTAGTTTCTGTTTTCCACGGAAGAACTAGAGTTTGTTGATGACATACTGTCCTCCTCTTTCCACTAGCGTCTGGCAGAGGTATTTCTTAGCATTCCTGTGCGTGGGACAGCTCTCCAAGGCCAGCTCAAAGTCACCGATAGCTTTCATCAAGCTTCCTTTGGTTGCATATCTACAATAAAATAAGAACAGCTTCAGTAATCACGCAACACGAGCCAGAAGAATAGTTTTATAGTGTTTATATGGAGGTGTTGCGTCTTACAGCGCTCCGCGCGCCACGAGCGCCTCCACATTGTTGGTGTCGATCTCTAAGGCCTTGTTGTACTCGTTCATTGCGTCTACATGACGACCCGATTTGAAATGGTCCACACCGGCTTTAACACTATAATCATTTGAAGAAATGATACGGTCAGTACTAGTTTATTGAACTTAAATATTTAGTAAATGAAAAATAAGAGTCATTAAAAAAAAAAGAAATTATTCATTAGATTTATATTTGCATATATGATTGTTTATTTGTATTTATGTTAGTACAGTATTTTCAAGACATTTCAATTTGTTGACTCTAAAAATGTCATGTGGTGCAACCATCAAGAAAAAAAACAAGTAATAACATGTTTTCCTTGCAAATCCTTGATCTTAGTTTAAAAAAAGATTCACTTTAAAAAAAAGGTTTCATTAAACTAACAATGAAAAATAGTTATACAGCATCTATAAGTCTTAGCTAATTTCAAACTTTACAAACACATTTTTTCATTAAAGTTGTATTTGTTAACATTAGTTAATGCCCTGTAAAGTAACATGAACAAACAATTATGTTTTATTAACTAACATTCACAAATGTTGTACCGAATATATTACTCACAGTTAGATGAAACATTAACTAATTTTAACAAATGAGACCTTGTAGTTATCAAAAATAATTATATATTTTAAAATAATAAGTTCCTTTTAAATATAATGCATTATAATAATGTGATACTCACAAAAAAGAGTAGCTAATTGCATATATATATATATATATATATATAAAGTAAAGTAGTATATACATATATATATATATATATATATATATATATATATATATATATATATATATATATATATATATATATATATATCAGTAAAGTAGAGTTCACTAAAAATATTTGAAAAATAAAAATCACCTGTCCACTGCGCACTGGATTTAATGCAATAAGTTTTAAAAAACTTGGTAAAAACAAACCATTTCAAGGCCCAGGATACAGATTGCTTCTTCCGAATAGCCGTTCCAAAATCCTCTTCTTTGAAGCTCTTGCTGTACACACAATAAATCTGTTTAACTGACAAAACACCAATGCAACTAGGAATAACACAAGTGTGTAAGAGAGGATATACCTCTGAAGCCCCCTCATTAGTGAAGGAGTTTGAGTACCACTTATTCCCAGTTTTCCCAGGAGGTAATCCACATTTAAGGGGTTGGACAAGCCAAGCGAGTCATCCAAAAGCTTCTCGTACGTCTCGTTGCAATCCGTGGCCACATTTTCACCCCGGCTGAAAGAGTGGAAGTAACAATAAACAACAGGAAGTCTGAGACGTTGGTTTTCTTGATTCTACATACGTATAATGAAGAGGAAGATCTTCTTTGCTTATGACACCCAGTTTGACTTTATTTAAGTGAGTAGCCAGCGAAGATGAATACAGGGACAGCGTCAGCTTCTCGTGGTAGCGGTCAATGTCCTTCACCCCAGCTGTGGCATAAACAGCACTTTATCCAATCTAATAATCCGTTTATAAACGAATGCACTGATTTTCCTTGTTAAAAAGAGTTAAAAAAAAACAAACACCATACCTCTGATTAAATCCCCAATCTGGTAATAAGACAAAGGATCGTCATGATTTCCAGTCGAAGGCACATTTCTTATTGGACAGAGGGCCTGTTGATAGACAACATTCATTTACTTGAACACAATTTTTAGCTAAAAGTAAAAAGTAATACATTCTTTACATTTTGCACTTAATCACATGGAAGCTTGTTTCCACCACAGAATAAAAAAACGACTATTTATCTCGCAATTCTGACTTTACAACTACAGAACAAAAATTAAAAATTGCAAGATTTCACATTTTTGAGAAAAAAAGTAAATGTAAACTTATTATTAAATTTATGAGTTATAAATGCAGCTCACAAGTCACAATTCTGACTTTTTTTCTCACAATTGTAAGTTTATATTTAATTCAATTTTTTTCTTTAATGTGAAGCCAAACCCCCTCATGGAAGAAGAACGCCGTCATGTTTACATTATTAGGATCAACTAAACGCAGGAAGTTCATGTATTGTTTCAGTAAACTTGCACAACACTCTTGAATGAGTAATATATTAGATGCACGGCGGTCTGTTGTCAAAGAGAAATCAACATTTTCATTACCCCTAAAACCGTATTCTGGACAAATGTGGGCAAAATAGTTTTGATTTATTTTTTAAAAATACTTCCCTTGATCTGAGCGGTACAAGATTTGGCCACTTTTCCTAAGTTTGCCTCCTGAACACACACAATATTTTTGACTCAATTCTACAATGTTAAGTGGGTGAAAAAAATGGGCACCCATAGAAATGAATGGATGGGGAAAAACTGTAATTTAGAGCACTCTGAAATAAGCCAAAATAAGACACCAGGTGACAGCAAAGTCACTTCATCTTTAGGGTTTAGCTCTAAGAACTTATTGGAAGGATATTTTAATGTAGTTAAAAAATAAAACATAAAAATAAGCATAATTTACATAGAAGATATTGTACTTTTTGAAGTAAATAAATTCAAAAATACCCCCAAAATAAAAAAAACACCATAAATGGACAGACAAAACTTTATCGAAGACAGTGACATAACATTTATAATAAATAAAAATTAGGATCACACTTGAGTCCCCTGTGCCCACATTTTTCCACAATTACACGATAAAAAGCTATAAAGTGAATACGGTTTTAGGGTTAACATGACGCAGAACAAAACAAACTGATTGGTTGATTTATGTCAGTCAGACGTCCTCTTGGCCAATGAAAGCTGCGATAGAATTCAGACCTTTGATATTTGATATATAAATGGATATCCCTACTATATTATATTTTGTTTTGTTTTTTCTCAGGATTGAGATATGAAATAATAATTGAGATAAAAGTGTCATTTTTATTTGTTTTAATATATGGTGGAAACAAGCTTCCATATTATCATTAATAGCAAAAAATAAATATAAAAAAAAAACATGAAATACATCTATATTTGGAAGTCCGATGCATTAGCGGTGTCAGAGAAGACATAAATAAATCAACTCAACCTTTATCTCAAGATCCTCGATGTCCCTCTCCAGTCCGCCAGCGGTGCAGAGAAGCGTTACAAATAAACCAAAGTCTCGAACTGAATTGATCTTTCCGATAAGCATGTCTCCGCGCTCCACGTCCCTGTAGAAGAGCTCTCGCCTCTCTTCAAACGACACCTCCATGAACTGCTCCAGTGGGGGCATGATGGCGTACGCCTCTGAAACAGCCACACACTCAATCATTAGAGAGCGTTTTAGACGAATATCCTGGTACTTTAACGTTTGGTGCCCATTCACTTTATATGGAAAAGAGCGAACAGGAGTAGGTGATGGTTTGGAACTAAATGAGAGTGAATAAATCTTTTTGAGAGAAATATTCCTTAAACTGAAATTTCATTGAAAGGTAATGATGACCGTCCACCTCCAGATTCCTCCTGCCATTCCTCTACTGGTGTGGATGATTTCCATGATGGTGCAAACAGAAGATCAGCTTTCCTTGCTATGTACTGTGCCAGAACAGGACTTGTTTCTTCTGTGTCCCTGTTTTAAACCAAGAACAGACACCAATCAGAGATGTCTTTTACACGGGAGTGTGTGTGTGTATTTACTTTATATTATAGTGTATTTTTAATATAGTATTTGAGACAGACCCCTGGGTATAAATGATAAAAATAAGTTAAAATAATATTTATTTAAAAGCAAATTCACTTGACAAAAAAAAACAAAAAAACTCACTTAAATTGCATGACTTCGGATGTGTATGGAAGGCCATTTCTGCCACATAAGATACTAAGTTATTATACTAAGTTATACTTATTTTTTTTTAAAAGTAGAAATTCTGACGTACTAAGTCGTATTTATGAAATGAAAATATCACAAACCAAGTCAAAAGAGTTGAAATTACGACAGTTCGTTTAAAATTCTGATATTTACTCACCCTCGTGTCGTTCCAAACCTTAAGACTTTCATCCGTCTTCGGCACACAAAAAAAAAAATATATTTTTGAATCTATTAATGAAATCGGAGAGATTCAGTCAATCCATTGACAGCTACGCAACTTTGACGCTTCAATAAGTTCATTAAGAGATGGTAAAACTATTTTCTGAACCTTTGACCTTCTACAAGAACCAATGAGGTTAATTCGTGTTACGCAGCACCTTTGACCTTCTATAAGAACTAATGAGGTTCATTCTCATGTTACACAGCACGTTTGAACTTCAGCAAGAACCAATGAGGTTTATTCTTGTGCTGCAAGAACCAATGAGGTTCATTCTCGTGTTACGCAGCACGTTTGAGCTTCTGCAAGAACCAATGAGGTTCATTCTCATGTTACGCAGCACGTTTGAGCTTCAGCAAGAACCAATGAGGTTCATTCTTGTGCTGCAAGAACCAATGAGGATCATTCTTGTGCTGCAACAACCAATGAGGTTCATTCTTATGCTGCAAGAACCAATGAGGTTCATTCTTGTGCTGCAAGAACCAATGAGGTTCATTCTTGTGCTGCAACAACCAATGAGGTTCATTCTTATGCTGCAAGAACCAATGAGGTTCATTCTTGTGCTGCAACAACCAATGAGGTTCATTCTTATGCTGCAAGAACCAATGAGGTTAATTTTTATGCTGCAAGAACCAATGAGGTTCATTCTTGTGCTGCAAGAACCAATGAGGTTAATTCTTGTGCTGCAACAACTAATGAGGTTCATTCTTATGCTGCAAGAACCAATGAGGTTCATTCTTGTGCTGCAAGAACCAATGAGGTTCATTCTTGTGCTGCAACAACCAATGAGGTTCATTCTTATGCTGCAACAACCAATGAGGTTCATTCTTGTGCTGCAACAACCAATGAGGTTCATTCTTATGCTGCAAGAACCAATGAGGTTCATTTTTATGCTGCAAGAACCAATGAGGTTCATTCTTGTGCTGCAAGAACCAATTAGGTTCATTCTTATGCTGCAAGAACCAATGAGGTTAATTCTTGTGCTGCAAGAACCAATGAGGTTCATTCTTGTGCTGCAAGAACCAATGAGGTTCATACTTGTGCTGCAACAACCAATGAGGTTCATTCTTGTGCTACAAGAACCAATGAGGTTCATTCTCGTGTTACGCAGCACATTGAGGTCAATGAGGTCAAGTACCTACGGTTGAGCTTTTATGTTTACTGATTAATGTGAACAAAAGCCTAAATTTAATCTGTTTGTCATGTAAAACAATCCTGTCTTTAAAAAAAAAAATGAACTAAACCGCTCAACAATCTCTTTATGAATGTTTGCGTTGTGTAGCTTTAAATGGTGGGACAGAAACCTCTCAGATTTAATTTAAAATATATATATTTTTTAAAAAGAACGAAAGTCTTACGGGTGTGGAACAATATGAGAGTGAGTAAATGATGCAATTGTTTTCATTTTTAGATGAACTAATGGTTAAGTAATAATAAAAAGCTAGAAGGTCGAAACTATGACTTTCTATTTCAAAATTATAACTTTTTATGTCAATGTTTTCTTAAGTGACAGAAAAGATTTACATTGTAGTAATACAAGTCATATCGTGTGGACTACTTTTAAAGCTGCAGTCCGTAGTTTTTCCTCTCTGTCGCCATCTCTGTTCGAAATCTGCAATTGCAGTTATTCGCGGAATTATCAACTTTACGTGGGTTGTGCCTCGGCACGGCACGGATGAATCCGGTGTTTGAGGAGAATGTGTGGCTGTCAGCCGTTGTGGATACTGTCATTCACAATCACAGATTCTACTTTTTTGGAAGTATGACCAACATAAGTATTTTCACTGGAAAATGTCATCTGAACAAGTAACATCGAAAGCATTGCAGTAAATTGCGCTGATTAAATCTAACGATTGCTTATCATATCACGTCGGTCAAACCGTGCAAATTATACTTTCTCAAATTGTTAATGTTAACAACATCAGCATTTCATGACTACATTTCAAGCCCTTCGCATATTTATCTTTGTTTTCGCATGGGCAGGTTGCAGTCTCTCGTTCCAAACTCTCAGTCCAAAGTTTTTTGCATTTTGTCACTGGTGATTGTCATTTGAACCTTTCTGGATCCGCCATCAAATTAATCATTTTAATTATATCAAGTACTGTGAGAAAAGGCTATAAATCTCAACCTCCAACATCCTCACTCCCAATATAGCCTGGTAGCCGAGACTCTTTGTGTATAGATGTGTGTGTGTGTGTGTGTGTGTACTGATTTGACGTAATGACACAAAGACATGCTCAAATTTCCCACGGAAATCAAGCAGTACCACTGGAGTTACAAACATTATTACAAGCTCACCATTTTGAATCGAGCTACGGCAAGCAGAGAGTTTTAAACACTGGCTGGTTATGTCCTTGCTCAAATTATTTAGAATAATGTTTAACACAAAAAAGTTACAGACTGGAGCTTTAAATATAATAAATCTCTAGTCTCCGTTCACTTTCACTGTATGGAAAAGATTAAGAACAACATGAACGATCTGTTAAATGTCTCAATTCGTGTTAAATCCGTCATACGTGTTTGAAAAAACATGCAGTTGAGTAGCTAATTGATTAAAGAGCATTATAAATGTGTAATTATTTTAAGTACGTTCGCCTAACGAGCTATTTATAGAGACTTGGGGTCAAACATAAGGGATCAAATGAAGCATGCACAACGATCACAGAAACGACTCTTACCTTTGGTTAAGAGTTTTGGCGAGATCAGCAGCCACATGTTTAAAGTCTGGGTTTTCATTCTGTTCACATTTTAACAGTGACAACAGGTTTTCACCATGATACGATACAGATTGTCTGAGCAAATCTCTATCCATTATCAGTGTCTCCAACACCACATTTTCACACTAAATGTGTGCAGAAATATCACCCCAATATAAACACAGATAATACAAGGAGGGGAGAAGTAAGTAACTATTAGCATATGTTAACCTTTCAGATACTAGCTGAAAACCCGACATAGATTGTAGAGAGTAAAACGGTCTGAAATTGAGCAGAAATAGCTGCAACTGTGAACGTGTGCCTATGCCAAACGCGAGACGTGGAAACCGGAAGCGAACCGGAAAAAGACTTTACTTCAAACTTTTTTTGGACATCCTTAAAGATATATATTTTTTTTAAATCTTCGAAATTGCTCTAAAATAGAGCTCTTTGGAATATAATTTGCTTCGCTTAAACAGAGCATTAGCCAAACAAGAAGAACACGAGAGGAAGTACAAACGGGAAACGTTTTGTTGTTGTCTTGTTTTCAAAATTAAAGTCGGTGATCAAAAACAAGCTTCAGGTTTAGCGGTTTTCAAAATAAAAGTAGGCTAACACAGGAATGCTTTTTTCTTCCAAAATTAAAGTTATTCCACTACTATCACACCAAATACAAAATATTTTTTTATTCAAACTACAATCACATTTAATCCCAAATGATTATGCTTCTACTACTATAGAATATACATAAATAAATAAATACGTTTTGAGAGGAATGGAATTGAGGCTTAGCTTAGGACCTTTATGCATGTCATTGTAAGATTGTACATCCATCCCTCACAGCATCATTTTCATCTGTTTTAATTTCAGTATGGCATATGATTTAACCTGAGGATTTATGAATGACAGTGATGCTGGTAGGTCACATGATTATGACAACTACATACACTCATACTGACTCATACTATATATGTGTATATATATATTCACTTTCAGAACGATTCTTTCCAGCTGATTAAAAAGAAATTAACATTGACAGTCAGCCAATCAGAATCCATCCTGCTTTGAAGAGCTCGATCATTTAAAGCGGCAGATGCAAAAAACGCAGCGCACTTATAATAAACATAACATTATCATGCATTGGTTTTTGTGCTAATATACATTATAGTTAGCCTATTGTAGTTATACTTATTTTTATTGTGCTTGGTGGGGAAAAATTAGCGTTTAAGCTTTGCTATCGGATTTAGTTCTTAAAGGAGTAGTTCACTTTTGAAAAAACGTTTGCTGATAATTTACTCACCCCCATGTCATCCAAGATGTCCATGTCTTTTTTTCTTCAGTCAAAAAGAAATTAAGGTTTTTGATGTAAATATTCCAGGATTTTTCTCCATATAATGGACTTCAATGGGAACCAAACGGTTCAAGGTCCGAAAGAGAGTTTCAGTGCAAACTGTTCAAAGGGCTTTAAACGATTCCAGACGATGAATAAGGGTCTTATCAAGCGAAACGATCGCTCATTTAATAAACAAATAACAAAGTTTAAGTTTTAGAAAAAAATCTAAATGAACAAATCTTTTCCGAGTCACAAGTCACTTTAACAAAATGTCAACAACGGAATATTGCTTATATATCTTATATCTTATATATATATAAGATGTCTTTAAGATGTAATGATTTAGAATGCATGTTAAACTGACATCCTCTAAACATCTATTTGACATCTGACAAGAGACGTCCTATAGACGTATTGCAGATGAGCAAACACTCTTAAAAATACGTCTTCCAAAATCACATCAAATCGGCTTGTGCTATCTGGATCGGCTAGTGCTTCTGACGTTTGCCGCTGGCTCAGATGTCTCTAGTGGTTAAACATGAGATATAATTTGTCTTGTGTATTTCTAACGGGCGATCTTTGGTCTCACAAAAGACAAAAAGAGACAGGGCTGTGAATTTTTTTTTTTTTATAGCCTATGTAGGAATATTTTTAAATAAATTATTATACATTCTCTTCACTGTATGTAGGCTACTTATGATAGTATATAATTATACTATTCACTATTTAATTTGCTGTATACTTTTTTTTTTTAATTGACTACTACTACATTGCACTGTTGTTGTACCATATCATTACCATAACGGATCCATCAGGGTCCAAATCGGGTCAATCACAGGAAATGCTTTCCACACAATGAGAAAACTTTATTTTATCTAATGTGAAAATAAATTATATCTCAGCATTGGTGTCTTCACAATTCTTTTACAAGAATAAAAAAAGCCAGATACATGACAAGCCTGAGCTTTGACAATTCGTTAAAATATATATATAATTTAGTTATCATAATTTCCGAATATATATATATATATATATATATATATATATATATTCGGAAATTATGATTTACCAAATTATGATTTCGGAAATGGGCTACAGTTATTATAGATATAACAGAAAGAAATGTGTTCCATATTGGCATGAGGAACCATAGACATAATAAATACATAGACGCCCTATTAGCCACTTAAGAATGTTGCTGCGATACGTCAACGAGTCCGCCATTTTGCTGAGGGCAAGACGGCTAATATATATATATATATATATATATATATATATATATACAGTATACAGGGGTTTAAGTGGGCCGAAACGGTCCGGGCCTGCGTTCCGGCACCTCAGATAAATTAATAAATGAATAGATTCATTAATCTCAACGAATCTCGTTGGTCCAGATCGTCTATGGTCCATTGGGTCACATAACTCCATCATGTGACCCAATGGAGAGAAAAAAAACCTTGGTTGGACCTAGGCTCAGTCGGGGCAGCTCTCCTCTGGCGTTTATGAACTAGAGGCCGGATTTACAGGAACTGTCAGCTAAAAATGTATGTGAATGTCTCTAAACAGACTTTAAAAGCTAATCTTGTGATAAACGCTGATGGGGTTCACATGCGCATTAAGAACTGATTCTATAGTTATGTGTGTTTGAATATATGTGCGCAGGTTTCCCTAAAACCTGAAGTCTGAACAAACGACTAACTCTAAATTTGATACAGAGTTTTGTTTTATTTCATCACATCAGGGCAGGAAACGCGTTATCTGTAGAGTGGGAAAGGGATCCTCCATTGGGAGAGGCTCGTTGGCACTTCAGCACTGCGTTGTCGTCGTCATCGGGTCCAGGCGAAGGTCCTCGTCAGATCTGGATACGGCCTGGATCCGGCAGGCTGCGGGAAAACCTCGGGATAAACAAAGAAACTCAAATTAGCGTAGATGCCATTCTTCTTATGATGTAACAGTTAAGTGTCCTAATCTATGCAGCCTAACATTGAATTATAGAAGCCTATGCTATAATGTATTATGTGTATGCTAGGGCTAAGACATGTGTGTTTAATCCAGCTTTAAAGGGATAGTCCACTTTTTTTGGAAATAGGCTCATTTTACCACTCCCTCAGAGTTAAACAGTTGAGTTTTACAGTTTTACCGAATCCATTCAGCCGATTTTCAGATATTTAGAAGAATATCATTAACCAGACAGTTTCTGGTCTCATTGACTTCCATAGTAGGATAAAGATATACTGGTTACTGATATTCATCTAAATATCAGAAAATCGGCTGAATACATTCAAAAACGGTAAAACTGAACTGTTTAACTCTGGGGGAGTGGTCAAATGAGCCTATTTCCAAAAAAAGTGGAGTATCCCTTTAACAATATGTTGTTGGGTGTGAAAGTGCTAAGCCACTAAAGAAATGGTTGTTGATGTCATCCAGAGTCCCCAGCAAAGCCGACGCAAACTCCACCATCGCTCCAATGTGCATGTACTGCCGGTCATGATCCTTCTGAAAAACAACGGGAAACTATCAGTGTACCAGTATTGACTTCACCCTGAGACTCTGAGGAAACACCTCAAGCACAAATCAAGCGTGTCAGCACCACAACCTTAACAGAAAGATTAGTTTAGAAGAGCTTCACACAGTTGAGCAGTGCCAATAGTTTGGATCTTCTCCACGCCATTAAATTTGGGTTTTGACGGCAAAAAAAAAAAAAAAAAAATCAAAGTTTTCAAAGTTTTGAGGAAAAAAATTATTGAAGAATAACCTTTCGCCATTATTCAAAGTAACAGAAATACACGTTTTCACTTACTTGGTTTAATTAATTGGCGGGTCGCATGCCAGTTTTCCAGGTATATGGGACTCTACTCTCATTATCAGACCGATTAGCAATCATGAGGGGATCTGCATTGACTATGGTTAAAAATGCATAGCATTAATGAAACTGAACATTATGCAGATGTACAGAGATCTAGTAACCAGAAAATAGTTTGACTTACCCTCAGCATGTCCCTCATGTATCTCGGTCTGCGCTGCCTCTCCGGTCACAGAAGGTGATGAAGGTGATCCGTCCTCTTCCTCTTCAGACTCTTTTTCCTCACCAACACAAAAATGCTGATGGGTTTCAGCCACATCGGTGCTGGATGTTGAGGATCGTAACGCTGAGCACTGCGGGAACTTCGTTTTCTCTTCTGGCCAATGATAAAGGATGTCCGCTTGGTTTCATCTGTGTTTAAAGATAAATGACACGCCCTGGAATTAAAATCTGATCATGACCTTAATCGAACTTCAACTGATTTTTGATCAAATGTGTGACGGTGTGGATTTTTTACATATTGTAATGAATGACACCAGGTTTCCATTAATGTTTCTGAAAGTGATGTAGACTTTATGATGTACAGATCTCTAATAAACATGTACACATTCTCAGATATTCAGTGAATTTATCCTCAAGCGTGTCTCTCACCTTGACCTCAGCTGCTGCTCTGACCTACTCTTCCTCTTCTGTCTCTCCTGACTATCGCGCTCTCCTTCTCTAAAAGGTTGATGATATACATAAAACATTAAAGAGATTTGACCTTGACCTTTCCTGTTTCACAGTACACTAATATTAGGGCTTTCGTGATCACGATTAATCGCATCCAAAATAAAAGTTTGTGTTTACATAATATATGTGGGTGCACTGTGTATAATTATTTTATATATATATATATATATATATATACACACACATGCATGTATATTTAAGAAAAAAATATTATTTATATATGAAATATTTAAATATAAATTAAACATAAATCTATATATGGAAAATATAACATGAAGATATTTCTGGTTATTAAGTGTGTGTGTGTGTGTGTATTTATATATAAAATAATTATACACAGTGCGCCCACATATATTATGTAAACACAAACTTTTATTTTGGATGTGATCAATCGTGATTAATCGTTTGACAGCCCTAGTAAGAAAACAAAAAAAGTGTCTTCCAAATATTATTATACAGGTGAAACTCATTTATTAAGTTCATTTATTTACGTAATTCAACTAATATATGAAAGACTCATTACATGCAAAGTGTGATATTTCAAGCCTTTATTTGTTATAATTTTGATGATTATGGATTACAGCCTATGAAAACCCCAAATTAAAAGGTTTTCATATCTGTAAGCCATAATCATCACAATAATAACAAATAAAGGCTTGAAATATCTCACTTTGCATGTAATGAGTCTCTATCATATGTTGGTTGAATTACATAAATAAATGCACGATATTGTAATTTTCCGAGTTTCACCTGTAAATCCGAAAATTCAGTTGTAGCTTATTAGGGTCAGTACCTTAAACCATTTATGGGACATGATTTTGTCCAAACCCATCCGTTGTCTTGGTTTTCTCTGCAGGAGGCGTCGAATCAGGTCGCAGCATTCTGTGAAGAGACCATAAACTTTACACCTGCTGTCTTTCTATTAAACTGTAAGATTAGACTACGCTATACTGTACGGGGAAACACTTTTACTTCTTTTACTTCTTTTCTTTTACTGCTGTTACTTCTTTGTTTCATTTGTTTTATTTTGGTGATTTAAAACTGATTATGGTTTTGTGATGAATGCCACTTTACCGTTTGACAAGCGAGGATCAGACCAGGTGTCATCATTAATCTTGTCCATCTCTTCGGATCCTGGAAGGTGTCCAGACAGCATTTCGAATAAGACCATTCCCAGAGACCACGCAGTAGCTGATTTAGCGTAGTACTTGCCCCATCTGCTGAACTCCGGTGGACAGTACTCGTGTGTGCCTAGAAAGAGATTTGTCTGTTGGTTAAGCTTGAAATCCCATAGCATGTTTTCTCTGGGTGATGATACACGGGCAACTTTTTCAGCAATGTTAATTATTAATAAATTATTTTGTATATATATATAAATACACACACATGCATGTCTGATGGTCTTCGGGGTCTGTTAGACCCCAAATGAATTTTGCTTGAATTAAAAAAAATGTTCTCTTTTTCCAAATGGTATAAAACTTGCTACGGCTCTCAACACTGTCAAGATCTACAAAAAAAAAAAAAAAAAATGGAATTCTATCTGTTTTTATGTAGGCGTGACAAAAAATAGTCACACTCGTGGTCTTCGGGGTCCATTGGACCCCAAAAAATACCATTTAATTTTGTAACAGAACAATAGTTTTTTTTTTTTGTATACAAATATTATTTTACTGTTTATTAATGTTTTTACTCAACATTTGTGCAGTTTTTGGAGGATTTATGATATCTTTTAAATATCTATAAATTAATAAATAAATATTTATTTATCATTGGACTCAAAATAGACACAATTCATCATCAAAATCAGAAATAACGCAGAAACACAGACAGAAATGACAGAAATTGAGTGGCACACTTCCAACAATGCAAAAAACATCCACAATCCAAAATTATCATGCTCACACACATGCACACACACACAAACACACACATATAGAGGAATGCAATATACAGGAATACATACAGACTATAAAAACTATTCGCTTATCATTTGTAAAATAAAATACTCTAAAATGCAGAACCACCGCAAAAATAAATTGGTAACACTAAGACACATTGAAAATGTGCACACACACACACAGGAATACATTTGTAAGGCTATAAAAAAAAATAAAAGAGATGAGACCATCTGTTATATTGTTCCAAACTATTGTTCCTAGTTATTCTATTTTTTACCCAATTTACTTTTTTTTTTTTATATATATTTTATTTTTACTGCTTTATTTGCTAATTTGTTATTGCTGTTCAGTTGAAATAAATGATCAAATCTTAAGACTCCAACATTTCTCTTTGTAACATGTTCAGGTTTGATTCTAATCATAATGTAACATTATTGAAAAACTGTTGTTTTTTCAGTACAAAAACAAAGGCTAAACTTTGACTAAAAGTATTTTATTTTTGTTATAAGTGTGCTTTTACAATATTTAGATATGAATCCAACTGAAGAAAACTACTTTAGACACTATATCTTTCAGTAAATCAAATAGCTCTATAGCCATCTATGGAGCTCTATAGCCATCTAGTGGATAAAGTGACTTATTACAAATTTTAACCTGTTTTTTCCAAAAATTAGGCAAAAAATCTTACATTCAACCTTGTAAAATTATCCATGGTATCCCCAGGAATGAAAGTTAGAAATCTGGGTCTTTTATAAAGTTTATTTAACATAAAATGCTGTTTTTTTGTAAAAATCCTATTTAAATAAATATTTATTTATTTATAGAAATAAATAAAAAAAATCATAAATCCTCCAAAAACTACACAAATGTTGAGTAAAAACATTAATAAACAGAGTAAAATTATATTTGTTAAAAAAAAAATACTATTCTGTTACAAAATTAAATATTTTTGTCTGGGGTCCAATAGACCCCGAAGACTGGAATTGTTACTTTTTTTGAAGACCATCATCAGAGGGTTAAGAAAAAAAAATTATTTATATGTAAAATATTTATATTTATATATAATATAAATTATATATAAATCTATATACAGTATATACATGAAAATATTTCTTAAATATATACTAGCATATGTGTGTATTTATATATAAATAATAATTCTACACAGTGCACCCACATCTATTATGTAAACACAAACTTTTATTCTGAGTGCGATTAATCGTTTGACAGCCCTAAAAAATGAAACTCTTTTCAAACCTTGATTCATAACACATACCACTGAAGACGTTATAGGCCATCACTTGCATGAGTCTCCCGCACCCGAAGTCGATCAGTTTGACCTCAAGTGTTTCTGGGTTGATCAGCAGGTTCTCCAACTTGATGTCGCTGTGGAAAACTCCTTTGGCACAGCACATTTGAGCAGCCATTGTCACCTGCTTCATGATGGTCCGTGCCGTTTCCTCGTTGAACATGTAATCCTGTTGAGCCCAAAAATCAAACCCATCCATGCAGTTTGGGGGACGCTCCAAGACCATGATATATCGGTCAGCCTGGTCCTGCCAGTCCAGCAGTTCAATGACCTCTTTAATTTTGAGGCCCCTATTAACAATGGCTAACAAGCCGATCTCCAATGGGACGGGTGCAGCATGATGGGGCTGGAAGAAAGATCATTGTTAGTTGCAGGATTTTAGAATAAAATGTATGTCCAGTTTTGGAAAAATGTGATGTTTTCAAGTTCTAACTTACAATGTTGATGTATTTCATGCCCTCTTTTTTTTTGACAAATTTCACCGCCACCTGATCAACAAAACAAAACATTTAGCCCATTACAATTACAACTGCACCACATAGTGAACATAATATACAATAAAAGGACTTGAAATGGACATAGTGAGACAAAACAGCTTGCTAAATTGCTAAAAGTAAGAAAATGACTATACCTCAAGGCCATCCGCCAAGCGTTTCCCTTCATAAACCGAACCGAATCCTCCCTCACCAAGCATTTTACCGATTTCAAACCGGCTCAGAATGTCGTCTGTTAAAAGATTAATGGTTATAGTTGACATGAAATGACAAGCATGGACAGCAGTGAGAGTAATATTTGAGATATGGCGGTAAACTCACCCTCAGTTGTCACGCCCACACTGGGTCCTGGAGCTGGACTGTGGTGGACTGGTCCTGGAGGGCTTTGACCTGGACTGTGGTGGACTGGTCCTGGAGGGGTTTGAACTGGACTGTGGTGGACTGGTCCTGGAGGGGTTTGAACTGGACTGTGGTGGACTGGTCCTGGAGGGGTTTGACCCTGCGGATCTACAGGAGGAAGGACTTCAAGTCCACTGGATAGATGTTCCATAAGACCGTGATCCTCTAACGTTAGAGCACAGGCGCTGTCCGGTAGAGAATCTGGATCTAAAGCAGGGAATATCAAACAAAAGCATGTTTCAAATAAATGATGCTTTGAATAAAAAACGTCAGCTCAATATGTAAACAGTCCGTGTGAAATAAATAATAATTACACACTGCATACCCAACTGTACATTGTACAATTGTAACGTTAGTTTTTTTTTTTTTAACAAAACGTGTTCAAATATTTAAGACATGTCTTGGGATAAATAAATAAAAACATAAGTTTAATTTTGACGTAATGCGTGGTGGTGTGGATGGATTTGTAATGGTCATTTAACTTACCCTCAGCACTTCTCTCATTTCTCTGGTCTGAGCTGCCGGAGTCACGATGATGAAGAGACGGCAGCTTCTCGAAACTATCCGTCCTCGTCCTCTTTCTCAACGGCGCCTCATTTTCCTCCAATGCCGGTTGATGCTTTTCAGCCGCGTCGGTGCTGGATGTTGAGGGTGTGCTCCTATGGGCGTCGCACACCTCAGCGGGGGACTTTCTCTTCAGAGACATGATAACAGTTGACCACTTCGGTAACTTTATCAAATAAACTGCAGCATAAACAACGCGAAGACCGACGGTTTGTGGTTTCACACGGGCGACACTGTTTGTTGAAACAAAACGGTCAAACTCTCTGTGACGTCAAAGATTCCACTCGCCCAGACGCCCTTTTCGAATTCGAATGAAGCTGAACTCTTGTCATTGCTCACAGCGGGGAAAAGTATTGTTTTCTATAATGTTTAAACATCTAACCTTATCCTTTCACTTCATAATAAAACAAAATATATTTCTAGTATTATTTAATAACAATGTTTATATTTAAGGTCAGAGTAATTGGGTTTGACAGGATTCATTTGAGAACAACTATTCAAAATTGTGTTAACCCTTAACTGACTTCTCAACCAAACACATTTTGAGTCACTATATTTTACTGATTGATCCATCTCTATCATCTGGTTGAGGTATATTATGCCCCAAAAAATCCACTAGATGTCTCAGTGTCAATCAACAGCACTTGTCACAATACTTCTAACAAATAAATCACCCCAGCCATTTTTTTTTGGTGAAATTTTGCAAGCTATAAGCATATATTTTTTTTAAATATTACACTGTAAGAGTCTTAACTTTACAAAATGATGTTACTTGGTACTATGAAAAAACTTTTACATTTTTTTTAAAATATTTTTAATAATTTTTCAAAAACATGCTCCACAATGCACTATTAAAACTTGGTTGTAATTCAAGCTTTGGAATAAAGACCTAAGTTTGGTCTTGTTTTAAAGAAAACACTAAAACACTTTAAAAAAACACTTCAAAAAATAAAAGTATGAAAAAGTTATTGAAGTTTTAAATTTACATTAAACCAAATATACTGTACTAAATATTTTTTACTTTAATATAAAATATATATTTTACAAAATATTTTTTCCTATAAAATCAAAGCCATATATCTATCCAAGTTGTTTTCCAAATTTGAAGTTGATATCACAAAAATTGAAGTTCTCATGAGATTGTGTTTATAGGCGTAATACCAAAAATGACATCAATTCCATTGAATTTAGTTGTATGCATTCTCCTGTAACAAATTAATACATTTCTGTCCAAATATCACTTCTGTTACAAAATATGGAACCTTGAGACTCAGATCTTTCAGACAATGTGTTTTGTCAAGATTAGAAAAGTAATATGATGGGCAATGAAAAAGTATGGCAAAGTCTGTGTATGAATTACGGTACCATTTATTACCGGTAAGTGACATCTCAACCATTTGGTATAGAGGCCAATATTTAAAAAATGATGGGATGTGTTAAAAAAAATACATTGAGTGTGGTTACTAGTGACATAAGATAAGAAATGCAAACAAAAAAAATTTCCATCACTTTTTTCTTGGTGCGTACCTCAAAGGGTTAAGATGTGTGCATATCAGGACAAGTGGAACAAGATTACGCATATACAGTATAAAATGCATTGCTTAGCATCTATTCATTTTTTAATACCACAGATCAATGCTATCATAGGCTACTAGAAAAATCACAATAGCAGTGCAGGGGTGGTAGCAAAATCACGTTTATTTAACATCTATTCATTTCCAGGATATGAATTCTTGATATCAACAATAAAAACAATAAAGGTTTTTACTAGTAAGAATGTAATTATTGATATCAAAAATTATATTTTTTCTAGTAAAAAAATCAAATCTTGATATCAACAATTGATTTTGAATGCATGGAAAGTCTCGCGAGATCTTGTGGCACGACATCTCGTCACACCACTACTCATTAATATTCATAAATTAATTACCATAGCTATTCTTACCTGTAAAAATGACAATTCTAGATATCTGCAATACCAATTTTACTAGTTAAAATATTATTTAAGATTTTACTAATTATATGTTCACTAGTTGCAAGCAGGGCAACTAGTGAACATATATCCCCAATTCCAGATATCAACTTGCTTTGTTGATTTCAATATTTAAATTGTTACTAGTAAAAATATGAATTCCTGATATCAATATTTAAATTGTCACTATAGTTGAAATGTCTATTCTAGATATCAACAATTAAATTTCTACTAGTAAAATGTTCATTTTTTATATCTGAAAATGTATTTCTGATATCAATATTATTTCAGATATCTAAAATGTCTTTCTTACTAGTAACATTCACATTCATGATATCAGTAATGAACATTGTCTCTATAAATTGAATTATTGATATCAAAAATGAACACTGTTTCTTGCAGTTCAATTGTTGATTTCAAGAATAGACATTTCAACTGGTAACAATTGTATTATTGATTTCAAAATAAAGGTTTTTACTAGTAAGAATTGCATTTCTGATATGTGAAATTGGTATTTCTATAAGAAATCAATAATGTTGATATCAGCAGTTGATTTTGAATGGCAGCCTATGGTGACATTTCACTAGTGAAAATACAATTACAGATATCAACAATTATAATTTTTACTAGTTCAAATTCAATTGTTGATGTCAAGAATTCATATATCCTGCAAATGATTAAAAGTCAAAACGGCTTGCCTATTGCCATTCCCAGGATATAGATTAATATCAAGAATTATTGCTTTTACTAGTTGAAATTTAACTGTTAATATCAAGAATTATAGCTTTTACAAGTTAAAATTGAACTGTTGACATCAAGTTTGACCATTTTTACTTGTCCTGATATCAAAGATTGCCATTGTTACTAGAAGAAATCTAATTCCTGATATCAATAACTATTATTTTAACTAGTGAAAATGTAATTGTTGATATCAAGAATTCATATCCTGTGAATGATTAATCTTTTTAACAAATCTTTTTCCGAGTCATGTGGTTCATTCAACGAATGAGCGAATGAAACGAATGAATTGACTCGAAAAAAGATTCGTTTATTTTGATGAACGAGTTTGAACGGGAGTTACGAATGAGCATCGCAGTACAGATTGAGTGAGCAAGGTGAGCATTTGTGCTTATAAAACTTAAACTTTGTTATTTATTTATTAAATGAGCGATTGTTTCACTTGATAAGACCCTTATTCATCGTCTGGAATCGTTTAAATCCCTTTGAACAGTTTGCAGTTTGCACTGAAACTCTCTTTTGGACCTTGAACCGTTTGGTTCCCAGTAAAGTCCATTATATGGAGAAAAATCCTGAAATATTTTCATCAAAAACCTTAATTTCTCTTCGACTGAAGAAAGAAAGACAAGGACATCTTGGATGACATGGGGTGAGTAAATTATCAGCAAAAGTGAACTACTCCATATGCAAATTACATTTAAGAAAAATGAAAAACTAAATGGGAGAAATTGTTTATAATCAAATCCATGCACGAACAGAAAAAAATAGTCTGATCTCTCTCTGTAGAACACTAATTTATATTGTATGAGTCATTTTACTTTTTATGCGTTCAGATTAACAGGAATGCAAGGAAACACCCGTGACCCAAAATCATTTAATAGAAACACCTATCAGAAGATTTCACATTTACTCAAAGCCAGGAAATAAACAGGAGAAATAGTTCCTCCATTCCACTCCAGCTACACAAACAGATGGAATTATGAACTGTTTATTAACAATTTAAAATAGGGTTCAACTTGTTAATGTTGGTTATGCTTATTAATTTTTATTTTCATTCAGATATCTTACAAGACAAGCACAAATAATAATAATCATGTTTTATTCTGTGCATCTCCAATCATGCATCATCATGTCACGAGGGCACGTTCTTGTTCCTTACTGTAAAGGAGTAGTTCATTATTGGGAAGGGTGGTATCTATTCACAACAACAATGCAGACAGATATGTTAAGAGACCAGTTGTATCAGTACAATTAAAAAGTTTAACTAGTTGTAATTTTGAACAGTAGATTTGATAACCTGGTATATATCAGAGATTTAACACAGCAGGAGTGTAGCACGACTTTGGCTGACTTCTTAATCCAATAAATAAAGGCTCAATGGTGCAAATGTCACATATACAGTAGTGATCTGTGATCTGAGACTAAGTTAATCTGTTAATCTGATACAATTTATGGTAACACTTTAGAATACGGTTCCTTCGTTAATGAATAACTACACAAGAACTAATGAGTAACACAATATTAACAATCTAGTAACTATTATTAACTAACAAGAAACTCTGATTAACGAACTAGTAAGTAATAGCGCACAGACGAAAGTGGTAGTTCACTATTAAGTAATCAATAACTACTATTTTTTTAATACTTCCCAGAGAACTACTGAAAAAGTTTATTAACAATCTAGTAACTAATATTAACTAAAAGAAACTCTTATTAACGAATTAGTAAGTAATAGCTCACAGATGAAAGTGCTAGATACTTCTGTGGGAGTTACTAATTATTTGGATCCGTATTATAAAGTGAAGATCATTGGAACTAACTAGTAACTACTCAAGTGTTACTACATGATCTAGTCATGATTTGTGCAACCGTTTGAGATTTTTGGTGAACTTTAGTAACTTTTAGAAAATGTCTTTAGTAACACTTGAGTCATTACTAGTTAGTTCCAATGATCTTCACTTTATAATACGGATCCAAATAATTAGTAAGTAATAGCTCACAGATGAAAGTGTTACTAGATACTTCTGTGGGAATTACTAATTATTTGGATCCGTATTATAAAGTGAAGATCATTGGAACTAACTAGTAATGACTCAAGTGTTACTAAATGATCTAGTCATGATTTGTGCAAATGTTTGAGATTTTTTGGTGAACTTTAGTAACTTTTAGAAAATGTCTTTAGTAACACTTGAGTAATTACTAGTTATTTCCTATGATCTTCACTTTATAATACGAATCCAAATAATTAGTAATTCCCACAGAAGTATCTAGTAACACTTTCATCTGTGAGCTATTACTTACTAATTCATTAATAAGAATTTATTTTAGTTAATAGTAGTTACTAGATTGTTAATAAACTTTTTCAGTAGTTCTCTGGGAAGTATTAAAAAAAATAGTAGTTATTGATTACTAAATAGTGAACTACCACTACTACTTCGTCTGTGCGCTATTACTTACTAGTTCGTTAATCAGAGTTTCTTGTTAGTTAATAATAGTTTGTTAATATTGTGTTACTCATTAGTTCTTGTGTAGTTATTCATTAACGAAGGAACCGTATTCTAAAGTGTTACCCAATTTATGTATGTCTGATACACTTTTTTAAAAATTTGGATCAAATATTGACAAATTATTTTACAATTATTATTACAACAGTAATTGGGTTAACATTTTAAATGAC